ATAGAAAAGGAGAAAGAAAAATAGAAGAAACAAAGAAAACAAATAAAAATCTATTTGGGTCTAACATGGTTTATGGTGGGTTACTTATCAAGATGTTAATTATCGTTCCAATTCTACATTCCAGTTCCCTGCCACTCATCAATAACCCAGTTTGTTTTACCCACAAACACTTCCTAAGTGTTATCCACAAACACTTCCTAAGCATGTGTTGTCTGAATAAATCCATCCCTGTTTTCTTTAACATGAATCATGTTTGAGTTTCTAGAATATATAGGAAAATTATTTATATAACCAAAGGATCTCAATATTTTTAAATACTGAATTTGATGCATATCATTAGATTTGTTATATTTTGAAATTCATGTTTGAGGTGGTCTTTTGTTGCATATAAAATGTGCTTGCATTTCCCTAGTCTTGGTTAAATAAAACATTTGGGGGAAAGTTTGTTACTATATTCTGGAAAGTGATTCTAATGTTGCATACTTTTCAAAAACACTCCAAAATGAGCTACCAAAAAAATATTTCATGAAAATTCACTTTATACCTTCTGTGCTAAAAATCAAAAGTTTTTTAGCAATCTTTATTTCGGGGGCTGACTTTCCCTTTAATTTTTAGAACATTGAACTGCCTCCTAAATTATAAACCTGCAACATAGTGAGTGTAAATGTTCATTACTCTTGGAAGTTTTTGAATGTCTAGCCACATGGCCATACTTAAAATGTGCTATAGTCAACTTTCAAATGATATTGAGCTTGCAAAGGTCTTTTCAATTCACTAACATAGCTTGTCACATTCTTTAGAAGCACACTTATTCTATAATATTAATGCCTAATATTTACACAGAGCATTACAATGTTTGAAGTTTTTCATATAAATTAACTTATATAAATAGTATTATGAGATAAATAGACCAAATAATTTTGTTATCACCTCAAATTTAGAGAAATTGAGGCTCAGAGAGGTTATGTATGTGACTTGCAAAATAAATGCAAGGTTGAGCCCTTTCTCCAGGCCTTTAACTCCAAAATCCAAGCTACTTCTGATATGCAATGCTGCCTCTCCACTAGGAACTCATTCACCAGAAGCAGCAGCTCTCCAGAATCTCACAGCTCTTAACATAAACAAGTCTTGTGATCTTTATTTATACCTGGGCAAGATTAACAAATGAGTTTAAAGACACACGTATGCATGTGCGCACACACAAACATCTCAGTAAAAAACTAGAAAGAAAGTAATGGAATTCACACTGGATTGTTACCTAACTACCTTAATTTAAGATAACCAATCTATGTTAAATAATAAACATATGCTTAGACTAGGTACCTACAGCCACAAAATGGAAGTGATTATCTAGATGATACAACTGTGAGGGCAGGGGGATGCCCACTCTTCTCGCAGTCCATGAATCGAAGGTCCCAAGAGACATGGTTTGTACGTCCAGAGATTTGGTTTAGTTTTTCCCCCAGGTAGCTCTGCAGACCTTTGCACATGCCATTGCCTCAGCCCACACTTACCCCATGTCACAGATTCCCATCTGAGTAACTCAACCCTATTCATCAATCCGGACTCAGCTCAAAGATAACTTCTCCTTGGAGACCTTCCCTGACTTCTGTCCCTTTATCCCTGTTCCAAATGCCTCTTTGATTTACTCCACCAGTTAGCCTCCTTCATCCCAGCAATGGCCTCTCCCATCCTGAAGCCAGTGGAGACAGGATTTGGATGTAGAGCTCCATAGATGCAGATTCTTTCAAGGGTGTACTGGACCTGTCTGCCAAGGTGCCTCACATACTCAAGACCGCCTGTTAAGCAAGGAGCCTTGCTCAGAGCCCTAGGATTAGCAAAGCAGCTCTGGGCTGTTCTTTGCAAAGGAATGACCGCTATTTCAACCAGGGATGGGAACCTGACCCAGGGGTTAGTCCTTGTTGGAGTGACCCTGAGATGACAACTGTACTAAATAAAATACCCAAGTAAAAGCCACTGGAGCAGACAAAATTATGTCAGCCCTGAGTTCCTACAAGAAACTATTGCTACCTTAACTTGAGAAAGAAAAGACTCCAGAAATGAGCCCAAAATAGTGTATAAATCCTTTCAAATCTCAGATGTGGCATGATCTAAACTTAAAAGAGGAATATGAGTATGTGTCATTATTTCTTTCATTTATTCATTCTGTCATTCATTAATTGATTCAACAAACACTTCTTGAGTCTTGAGGAGATCATCATAAAAATAGACATCATTCCTGCCCTCTTGGAACCTACATTTTAATGGGGGAGACAAATATTACATAATCACACCAGTGAATACATAATTGCATACTATAATATGTGTATGCATGAAAGGTAAGAAAGAATGAAGTGGGACTTACAGTAGAGACTTGATATAAACAAGTGTTTCAATACAGAAAGTCGTGGGATAGAAGCCTGAAGAATGAGGTCAAGGTATAGAGAAGGTGGAAAGAGCTTCCAGAAACAGCACATGGAAAGGTGCAGGAACGGAAGATAGCTTGGCAATTAAGGGAACATTAAACAGGCCAGCATGACTGGGCCACTAAGATGTGGAAGTAAAAAGGGCTGTGACGATACTGAGGTGAGCACATAGGTGGCCTGGGCCACATCATGTAGGGCCTTGAAGACGATACCCTTAGGTAGGAATTTTTGGATGCTACCTTAAGTCCAACGAAAAGGAACTGAAGGACCCTAAGCAGGGGAGGCAAGGGAGAAGATCTGCAACTGTTCAGAGGGTGATAGTGTTGTTCCATCCTAAATAAGAAACCCTCAATTTGTTAGGGAAGGAACATATAACAGTTACACTTTTCCAATGCCAGCTACCATCCATGCTCTAGGAAACCACCTCCCCTTTGATGTTGGAGAGCAGAGCCCTCTACATCCCACGTCCTGTGTAAGCCCAGCTCTAGGCCTGCCAACTCTGAGTGGGGGAAGATCTGCTATCAGGTATGATATCAAAGCTTTTGAGTCAGTTGTAAGAAACAATGACTGCTCTTGGGATAGCAGACCACCTGCCAAAATGCTATAGCAGAACTAGCAGAGGCTTGACAGGGTCTGTATGAAATGGAGTGGGAGCTTGGTCCAAAGATCCCATAAGCAGTCATTCTCAACATCTTGAGATGCTGGCCTTGGCCACATGACATGCTCCTGAGTCACCTTCTTATGCTCCTTGATCTAGTTAAGGCCTAACCCGCTCTAAACCACAGCTCCCAGTTACAGTATTTTGTTGCCATTTCTTGTCAATGGTCCCGCCTCCCGCACTGGAAAGTGAGCTCCACAGAACAGGAAAAGCATGCACCTTATTCACCACTCTATCCCTAATGCCTGGTACAGTGCCTGGCACTTGTAGAGGTTTAGGAATATTGGCTTATTTCATTTGTGCTGTGGTGTGCAATGCTCTGTGTTATAATTGTTACTTTTTTTCTATCTGCTGTGAGCTCTTTGAGAGTAGAATCCATGTCTCCATCTTTGCATCTCCATTTTATCAAAGAGGCTGGTTCATAGTTGGCACTTGATAGAGGATTAATTAATTTATTAGTTAATTAATGTATGGCTAAAGCAATTATGTATAAAAGACCTTCATTAATGCAACCAACTCTACCTCTCCTTTAGTCTACCACAAGATACACAAAACCACATCATCTGAGAATCTTGCATACCATTAATATTCATTGATAAGAGATGCTCTCTTACTACTCATGTTCTATACACTTCTACATACTAATATACACCCCAGAAAAGGGTGCATACAAAAGTCCAAATAAAGCCTCTAACTGAGTTAACAATATTGAATCAGTTTTCTAAATTTGATAGTGTACTCGGTTGAGATGCTGTCTTCAGGGTAAACTAAGTGAAGAATACAAGAAATCTCTCTGAACTATTTTTATAACTGCTTGTGAGTCAGCTTATTTCATAATAAAATGTGATCGTTTTTAAACAAACACATTTTTTTAAATTTTATATTTATATATATTTTTACTTTTGTATATATTTCTAGGGTACCTAAAAATAGCAATAATTACATGATATTATCATGTATTACATTAGCATACAGGAAAGGTAGTGCCCTAGTTCTGGGTGCTATTCTTTTTGTCTGGCCAGGTTGACATTTAAAATATGCTAGAATGGCAGTGGCAATAAATAAATAAATAATAAATAAATAAAATATGCTAGGAGAGGAGAAAGATGCATTACTTTTGCCTGATTCAAGCATATTCTCCAAATGATGTTTTCATAAACAAAGTACCAACTCATATGATCTTCTCTTCCTCTTTTCCGTTTATCCTAATTCAGGTCAATATAAAGTATTTCTGCTCTCCTCTGTAGATTCTAGGTTTTGAAAGAGAGGAAGTGATTATAAGCTACAGGGAACTGTTAGTGGAAAACTCCCAAGTCAGAGTGCCTTTAAACTTCTTTCTACCTAGTGTTGTCCTTTAAAAATATAATGCCAATTTTAGAGGGAGATGTTTTCAATAAATAAGATTGGTGTGTACACTCCAATTGTAGGACTGGAGTTTTTAAATCACATGTTCAAGAGCCCACTGTTGGTTACATGGATAACAATGTGGGTCATCACATCAAACATGTGAAGCGTAGTAGAAAATTTTTCTACTATCTGAGAGATCTGAAAAACCACCACCAAGAAATCCATATACATGCAGATTAAGGTAAAATTTCAATGTATCTTAAACTAAGTTCAGCAAAGACTTCCTTAGCATAAAGAGTTGCAATTCCAACACTATTCAATGAATACGCTTCCTATAGTCAATAAAATGAAAATCATGCAAAAGCCTGTAGATATCATAAACATAAAGTCAAATTCAAAGGTGAATAACATTCTCCCACATTCTTCCTTCTTTTTCTGGAAATGCAGACTCTTTAGTAGGTACATCTAAGAAGTATACCTGCTTCAGAAGTCCTTATAGTTTTGTGATAACCTATGTAAATTAAGTTTAACTCAAGGTATGGCATGGTAGCTTCATCTTAGAGACCCACCAGCTTGTCCAGAAGAGAGGCTGAAGGACACCGTGTGACAACCAGATGCCAGGAAAGAGTGTCTCTCTGCCTGCTAGACAGTCTCATTAGAGAAGGGCATCCGTCTTGACTTCTTCGGGATAGCATCCATAAGCTGTAAATACAAGTTTTACTTAGTAAAGGAAAAGGAGAATAAATGCAAGAATGCTCTTAATATTTGGCATATTGATTAGTGAATCAAAAAAGAGAAAACTATAATTACCTCTGGTTTGATATATTCTCCAGCAAACTGGTATTAACTGAGTAGCACCTAAGTGGACACATAGGTGCTACAGTAATAGGGTATTGGGCAGGTGGGAGGGGGGAGGGGGGCAGGTATATACATACATAATGAGTGAGATGTGCACCATCTGGGGATGGTCATGATGGAGACTCAGACTTTTGGGGGGAGGGGGGAAATGGGCATTTATTGAAACCTTAAAATCTGTACCCCTATAATATGCCGAAATAAAAAAAAAATTACCTCTGGTTCTATCGAACTGAGAGATTTCTTCAATACAATCTTTTGTGTGGCAGCTTTATTCCAAAGAAATCCACATTAAAATACCCCAAAAGAGATAAAAAATACCTTCAAGATCCTGTAGCTCTTTAAATGCTTGCTACAGGCCAAATCTTGCAATTAGAATCAGTCACTTTAACTGCTAAAGTCGTATAATGCTAATAGATCACTTTATGATGTGAGCAGTTTTTAAAAGTCGTATTTAATTTTCCATTATGACTGTACCGAATGCTGGTTGTGTCTGTCCATTCTGTTTCAAGAATCTTAAGTCCAGAAAAAGTAGAGACTGCGGCTTGCTGAGGCATTGCCTAATTCTGGCTTTAATTCTCAGAACCCTAAGTTAGAACTCTAAAATAGACCATATTTCAACTTTCTTCCTAAATGTGTTTATTTTTATTTCCAAACCAAAGGAGGAGGGCTCCTTTTTGTTTCATAATTATTTTATTTCAAAAAAATACAAATTGAAGTGAAAGCTGCTGTGGTGTGTGTATGTGTGTGTGTGTATGTCTGTATGTGTGCACAGGCATACTCGTGTGTGGTTTTCTTTAAGAAAATTAAATGAACCAGAAAATAAGCCCTTAGCAGTAACCTAAGAAATAAAACAAAATCATTTACAACACATGGGATTGTTGCAGGATATGTCAAGATTAGATGGTTTAAGGGAGCTATCCTGAATGTGGAAGCAATTATAATGAAATTCATGACTCATTAGCAAACATTCCATATTGTGTTTCTCATTTCTGGGTCAATGTTACTAGGAAATATAGACTTAAGATTTAGATGTTTCATTGACTTCGGTGCCAGATTATAGATAGTTGGACCATACAATGACATAAAGCAAAGACTCACGGGTTTTGAAGTTCCTCATTTGTCAGATGTAGGTAATTGGGTCCTCAGGTATGTATGAACACAATAACTTCAATTATGCATTGGCAAGAATTAAGTTAGTGATAGAAGGGTTGTCTACAAATGTAAAGTAAGAATTACATGGTGCAAATATGTACTGTTGGATTCCGGTGGGGAGTTTGCCTGCACACTGCTTGGTATGCAAAATGGCTGGTGAACTCAAGTACCCAACACTGTATGTAATGGGAACCAGATGTCTCACAGAGAGAGAAAAATATTTTATAGCAATAAATGTGACATTGACTCTTAAAGGGTTTGCTGTTTTTAAACAACTTCCTAGTCTTACTTTTCCTCATATATTTAAAGTGGTTTAAAGTAGATTGTGTAAGGAAATTATTTTCATATTTTAAGAGAAAAAAGTATTTAACTTGCCACTAACTTCTAAAATGCATACATAAGGAGAAATGATCTGCAAGAGATAATTTTGGAATTCATTCATTTACTAAAGCACTGTGCTCAGCAATGCAAAAAATATATATATTAAGGCAAATAAAGCATAATTCCTCCTGCCCTTAAGGAACTTGAAATACACTAGATGAGATAAGATGCTCACAGCAGGATGGGGTCACAGCACAGGCAAGTCCTGGGAAAAAGGCACAAAGTGCACTGAGAATTGCAAGGGGGAAGAGAAAAGGCTACGGCTGGCAGGCTCCGTGAAGGAGGATCCCACTGATTCGTCAAGCTCAACGTCTCCCACGTCCACCCCGTCCTTTGCAGAGGCTGCCTTGGTGAAGGCCTCCTGCTCTGTGGCCACTGCAGTGGTCCCTAGCAGCTTTGCCCTCTCAACCTCACTGTACTCACTCCCAGGGCAACCCCAACTAGCTTCCCTGCTGGCACAATCTGGACAGTGGAGCACCCTGAAGATTAAAGTCACAATCTCTATAGTTAGCCCTGGGGCCCACTTCCCACTTAGCCAGTTACTGGTTGGAACCTTGGGGAAGCCACTTAACTAATTTACCTCTACCTGCATTTTCCCACCTGTAAGAGTACATGTCTCACGTGTTTGGACTACGGTTTTAGTGACATGATGCACACAATGGGCTCTGCAGCTGCCAGCACAGAGTCAGGGCGCTGTCAGAAACTCTTTCAGCTATTAGAGTATCAATCATCTGATCTTGTTTTTATGGGACAAATCTGAAGTCCTCATTCTGGCGTGCCAGGCTGCCATGAGCTGGCACTTGCAAACTTCTCCAGTTCTTTCTCTCAATGTCTTCCCTGGAATGCACGCTTACCAACCTTGTCTGCTTGTCGCTGTCCCAGCAGACCTCCTGTGTTCTAGCCCCTAGACCTCTGCACGTGCTGTTGTGCCTGCCTGAGGTGCTCCCCCCTTCACCTCTCTACACAGCAAATCCCTGCTTCCCCTGCGGGTCTCCCTTTCTGAGCCTTCCCTGATATACTGGGACTCTTTCCATTAGGTCATGGTCCTAAACTCACATGGCCCACGCAGGCAGCATAAATAAATGAAGCAGTACACGTTAATACATTAATTAGGGAGTGGTAGAGACTATGGTTAAAAGGGAGAAATTGTTCCCTGGCTAAATGGTCAGCCACTTGTCACTGTTGCCATGGTGGAATGAGGGCTGAGCATAGCCAATCCTTCCACTTTTTCAAATAAGACAGGTATCTGTATTTTTTCATTAAATCTCTAGTTGTTCGTTGTTGGCAACTAAAAACAAAATTTAAATGCTATAACTTTAGAGCAAATAAAAACCCCTGGGGGCCAAATGGCTAACTACCTACAGGCCTCGGCTTTTGGAACACCTTATTCTGGGATTTCCTTACAGGTGCACACCACCATTCTCAAAAATCTAACTTTTCCCTCTAAATGTTTGCACATCTATTTAACCAAAAGACTATGCTCCTTGAGGACAAGGATCAGGTATGGTTATCTTCCCAAAGTGCCCGGCACAGTGGGTAGCTCAAAGAAGCATCTCACTAAATTTCATATCAGTATTTCCCTGGGCCTGGAAGCCAAGGAAGGGTTTGCAGTGAGAGGTCATTCCAGGCAGGTCGAAGGATACAGATGTTCATATTCCAAATGTCCCTATTTCTAGAGAGAGGAAATATTTTGTAGTATTGTTAACCTTAGTCAATATCTGACATCCTGAGAACCCTCTGGAACTCTTCCTAAAACTGCTGCAAAAGGCCACTCCATGGTGAGCAACATTGAAGTCAGCTCTCAAAATGTAAACCTAATCTATAAATCTATTCTGTGTATAAACTTAATCTATACCTGACATGTAAGCAAATATCTAAAAGAATTAATTAAATTTACCTCAAAGAGCCCCAACTCCAATGTTGATGTGACAACATTTTAATTGTGTTGGAAGATGAACATAGACCACATCCTGGACAGAGAACGAAACATGTCTCTAAACCTGTGGTCAAGAAGAAGACAGTAAAGGCTGGGAGTGGTGGATAACTTACAAGAGTCAAAGATAGCAATGGCAATGCATGTTTTAAAAACATTTTTAATGCCCATAATCTTTGGGCCAATAATGCAACGTCTGGGCATTTATTCCAAAGAATAATCATGTACAAATACTTGACTACAAGGACGTTCATTGCAATTCTAATGCTCAAATGTAGGGATGCTGTTATATGAGCAATAACAAGGACTTGTTTTGTGATTATTAATAATAACAGGTGAAATTTACCGAGTCCTGACTTATGTGACAGATAATGTACTGGGAAAATTTAAGATTCATTATATTATGCAAACTTACTGTTGTGCCCATTTTACAGATGAGGGAACTGGGGGTGAAACATAGGGTGTTTCAATAATTTGTCCAAATCACATAACAAACAAGTGTCAGGGTGGGCATTTGAACTCAGTGCTGTTTAATAGCAGAGCTCAAGCTTCTCCCATAAATTGCGCTTCTCCCATAAATACCAGAATATACACAGTAGTTACTGTGCACCCATCAAAATTATAATGTAGGAGAATATATGGCGATATAGAAAAAAGTATGATGAATTACTCAGTGAAAAAAACATGTTATTAAAAAGTGTCACCTCGCACAGGCATTTGTTAGAGGGAAGTATCAGAATCCCATAGACACTGCTCCATCAGACACAGACATGAGGTAAGGAGACAAGGCCATCACACAAAAATCCCTGCAGGAATTAGTGCCAGGATATAAAGAGTCTCTGCTCCTAGAGCTCTGCTGTCTCTTCCTTTGCTTCTCACTGTCCCCTCTACTCATCTCTTGCAAACTATGTTCTCCAGCAAAACTTTAAGTTTCAAAGTACGAATTCTAGGCCGGGCGCGGTGGCTCACGCCTGTAATCCTAGCACTTTGGGAGGCCGAGGCGGGCGGATCGCTCAAGGTCAGGAGTTCAAAACCAGCCTGAGCGAGACCCCGTCTCTACCAAAAATAGAAAGAAACTAATTGACCGACTAAAAATATATATACAAAAAATTAGCCGGGCATGGTGGCGCATGCCTGTAGTCCCAGCTACTCGGGAGGCTGAGGCAGTAGGATCGCTGAGCCCAGGAGATTGAGGTTGCTGTGAGCCAGGCTGACGCCACGACACTCACTCTAGCCTGGGCAACAAGTGAGACTCTGTCTCAAAAAAAATAAAAAAAAAACAAAGTACGAATTCTAATCCATGTCAATGTGACATTATAGCTCCAGTTCCATATACTGTCTGACTTAATTCCAAGAAAATAGCAGGTACTATCCCAGATGGGGCCAAGTGTCAATCTCTGTTCCAATCATCTGGGACCATAGAACTGGTTCTAGAAAACAGCAAATGGCTTAGAGGAAAGCACTAACCATGTGAGTGGTGATGCTATGTTTTTTGGTATATAAAAACCACAAATATAGAGAAAAAAGATGTAAAGGGCTCATGTTAAGTTATTAGCAATGTTTCTATTTAGAGTGGGGTGTTTTTTTAATTTTTGCTTCTCTACGTGTTCTAAATTTTCTATAGTGGACATATATCACTTTGTACTAAGATGATAAAAAAAAGGACTGAAGCTAGAGAAGGATTAAAAGTGAATATCCAGAGTGGTAGTATTTGGAGACTAAAGGTCAACGTGAAAATAAAAGTAATTTTAGTAATGACGGAATGTAGGAAATGCTTACCAAATAAAGGTTAGTATCCGAATAGCAACCCCCACCTGGAAGTCCTTGGATTAGAGCAAGCCTCACCATGAAGATGTCAAGGCTGTATCTAGTGGAGATGCCAGGTATTGTGTGCACTGGGCCCCACTGTCCTGTGACGCTGTGCCGGGCCACTTGTTCCTAGGATAAGACAAGTCAGAGCAGAGAACAAGAGCATGAGTCACTTGAAATATAAAATATGACTTTCAAAGACAAGAGACAGTAGCCACAAAGAAGGAAAATTCACGCAAATACATAGGGGAAATTCACTGGTCTGAAAAATGGCAATGGAGTAGCAAATAAGTAGGGCAGGGTAACAGGAGGTAAGTCTTTTTCATGCACAGAAAGGATAAAGTCATGGCCGAGGGACAAAAAGGGATGGGGGAAAGCTGTAGGACTGTAGCAGAATAATGCAATTGAAAGAAAAGACAGTCAGTGGTACCAAAGGTGAGGCGAGGGAAGAGAAAATAGATAATGAGAAAATAAGTCATGGAGAACGTACATATGGGCTTGAATAAAGCCAGCAACACACCCACTCCAGAGTTAGGGAATGGAGCCACTGCCATCCCATTTGCCTTCAGTGTCCTCCAAATGACAAGTGGCCACCGGCCTTCCTAACTGCACTCTGCCTAGGACCTGTATGCATGCAAGTGTTCATCTTGCACCCCACTTGGTACACACTCTTCTATCATCTCACTCACCTGGCAAATGGCTATTTCATTACTTTTCATAGACTACTTAATTGACTTTGATCACTCCTACTAGATTGGAAGCACATGGAGTTTGAGAGGTTGGAGCAGCTGATATCATAACTGGACATTTTATTAATAGCAGTTTAAAGATGTGTCCTCATATCCTTTAATACTCAAAATCCAGAGGAGACGTCTATGTGACCTCCCCTTGAATCTGAGCTGAGCTTAGTGACGGGTGGACCAATAGAGTGTGCGACTTGGCTAGGCCAAAAGGGATGACTCAGTTTCTACCTTGTTCTCTTGGAAGGCTCATCTTTGGAGCCCTGCGTGGCCATTTCAGAAGCACAGGGAAGAGATGCCGGGGGGAAGCTCAGATTCCACGGCGTGACCAGGTGCCCAGCCGACAGCCCCGGCTGAGGTTGCGGCAATGGCCAGCGTCGGCCCTCAGGCGTGTGAGCGAGGAAGCCTTAGCGATGACTCCAGCCTCCAGCCTTGGCAGCTCTCAGACCTACCTCATCCTCATCCTCATGAAAAACGGCATGAGAACCACCACCCAGGTGATCCCAGTCAACACTCAAAACCATGACAGATAACAATAAAGTGATTGTTGTGGTTCCAAGTTAATGCATTTTAGGGTTAATAAATGTTAGGGTTTTTAAATTATAGGTTTATCTATTCAGAGACAGATAACTAGACCAAATATTTTGGTTTTCAATAAATATCTACTAACTTTAATTCAATAGCAGATAAGGAAGTCAATATTGTTTCGTGATGTTTCTCTCTTTTTGTCTTATCTTCCATTATTTTCTATTCCTTGCTCAGGCTCTGCTTATATATCCTTCTCTCTGTGTGTCTTTCATTCTCTCCTCCTCCTCCTCTCTCTACAAATCCAGAATTCTCCCCCTTTTAAGGCCAGGGGAGTTGGAGAAGAGAGAGCCAGCCTCCGCTGTGCAGATATCCAGGGCTCTTTCCATATCTATAAAAGGCCTCTGTTTTCTTTCTTCTGGCATAAAGAAACCCAATTTCTTTTAAAAAAAAAAAAAAAAAAAAACTGTTCCCATTTCCCTGTTCTTTACTGACTTTATCCCTCCTTCCTGAATGATCTTTGAGTCTTCTGTGTACTTTTTAGGTTGTAAAACTAAGAACAAGATACCCTACCCCGGTGATGATCTTGGCTATAATATCACCCTCATCTGGAAAGCGCTGTTATTTTTGGCCACCTTCAGATCTTCTTGTGGCTGTTCCGCTCATCTGCTCATCTGCTGCAGGAGTTCCGACTCACTTCCCCGGGCAGTACAGGGGGTCTGCAGACAGCAGCTGCGTCAGGAGCTTGAGTGGGAAGACAGCGAGCAGGGTGGTCAGAAGAACTGCTGTGAGGAGGCAGCTTCAAATGAGGCAGTGTAGGTGGGAATGCTCGGACACTGTGGCCTGGAGACCCCCTGGCTTGCCTGGCTCAGAGAGGGAGTGACTCATAGAACATAAAACTGAGCAGCTGACCAACCTTGGAGGCTGAGGGGGACACAGAGACTGGACCAGAAATTTTTCCATGCCACCGATGTGGAAGAAAGGCTGTTCCCTCTGTGCTGGCCCTCGGGGGTGGCCTGGGACACCACCTTGATGTGTCTGCCTGGAACAAGCCTACGCGGGCACCTGTCGACAGATCCATACCCTTGTACAAATGCACAGAATTGTGGATGAGCACGGTGCTGGCTGGCAGAGAAATGAAGATGCCACCCCCAGGAATGACAAGCACGTTGCTAAAAGGACCACATGCTGCGTTGGCCGGACACACTAGCAGCAGGCAGGGCAATATCATCTCAGGTCAAGGAGAAAGCCCCACGGCCAAAAATAGCCGCCCTTCCCAGTTGCCACAGTGTCTAAAATTATACCATTAAAGATTTGTTCCTGTGCGCACCTCACCTTTATTGGGGGCAGGTCTGGGGAGGACCCACGAAATGTCTTCGCATTAAGGTGCAAAAGGCCTGACAGCTCCAGTGAGCTCTGTGGGGGCGGCAAAGGGGGGAGGTGTTGAAAGGGCAGGAAGGAGGCAGGGGAAGGGCCGAGGAGGGACAGCAAAGGCAACTTCTCTTATTGCAGAGTTTTACCCAGAAGGAGCCTCGCTGGCAGCTACATCATAAAACTGAGGTCTCAGCAATTTGCCAGTAAATTTGAACCATGCATGTAAACAATCCTAATAATTTATTCCTTGAAATGCCTCCTATAATCCATTATTATGCAGAGCTGCACATGCCTCTACTTCAAATTGCCTAAACGGGGAAAAAAAAAGTACATTAAAGGGCAATTAAAAAGAATAACAAGAGGCGACGTGAGGAAATGGTATATGCCGATCATGTGGCACGCACAGGGAACTGGAGGGAGCAGGCAGGTCATTTCACCCAAAGTCTCGGTGTGGGGACCAAGGTTGGCTCAGAAATCCAGGCAACGATTCTGTCTTTATATATGGAAGTTTGGTTAGCCTGACCCCGGAAGATTAAGCAGTAAACAAAATAAAAGCGAACAACCATTACTTAAAAGTCACAGCCAGTCCAGTGTATCAACATGCAGTGACTCCACCAGATTTCATTTTTAAAGTCCTTAGTAGAGCAGGATTTCAGAAAGGTAAATCCACCCTGCTAAGCCACCTCTGGGGCAGAGAGCCAAGTACCATAGATGCCACCGGTGGGCTTTACGCAGAGGCAGGGATAAACTAGTGAGTGCAAGGAAATATGAAAATGAGGACGGGAGAAAGGAAAGACTGCTAGACCAGAGTGACTAACGCTGACAATGGATTCCCACAAGAATAGCCAATATCGTCACATCATTGGGCAGTTCATAAAGAAATTTCCACATAACTTGACCTTCAATCCTCCGACCCCCAAGAAGGAAGCTCGATTGACTCCCATTTTTATAAAGGAGAACTCTCTGGATGAGAACAATTAGAGAACTTGCCCAAGGCCATACAGCTAGCTGATTAGTTAAGGATAGGGTGGGGTCTTGAAATTAGAATCTAACTCACTAAATCCCCTGCTTTTTCTACTCCAACAGTCTTTGGAGTTATATTAATAGAACACGGGGATTCCAGAAACATTTGTCCTCGGAGTAATTTACTGGGTGATTTGTGTAAGAGGACTTCTCAACTTTGATTCAATCATATACTCAACAAATAATGATTGAGCCTCAACTACTATTGGTCATTGTCCTGGGAGCATTTCACATGGATGACTGCTTGATGGCCAATCACAATTGCCCCTAGTAAGAGAGCCGCTGTCTGACCTTGCCATCCAAAGTGGTCCCGCCATCCTTTCCTGGTCAGTATTGTAATTTTCTCCAAACACTTAATACCACCTGAAACTATGGAATTCATATATGCATTCATTATTTAACTACTTGTCTCCCTCTCTAGAAAATTAGAACCTTCAGAACAAAGACCCGGTCTTATTCTAGGCTGTCTCTCCAAAATTAGAACAGTTCCTGCACATAATAGCAGCTCGATGAATAGTTACCCAACAAATGATATTACATGTCGAAGACAGCGTTTTTCCAGTGCCTAGTATGTGTCCAAAATGGGATGAGATGTTTACATATACAAGATCTGATTGAATCAAAACTATATATGCCAAAATAGAAAATATATGAAGAAGATAGAGATGAAAGTGTGTGGAAAAATTAGAGGTCAATTTGAAATGCCTCTATCCTGTGCCACTTAATGCCAGAATAATGGCTATTTTGTGACATTAAAAGGTAACAAATTTAAAACAAAAAAAAAAAAGGAAATGCTTTTTAAAGCAGCGTATAATCTACCTGTGGAATTCAGTGCCACAGGATATTATTGGGGCAAATAGTCTAGCAAGATTCAAGAAAGGATTAGACATTTATATGAATAGGAATAATATTGGCAGTTCCATTAACTAGGTTAAAAAGTTACAAGGCATGTCTGTCCTGGGCTCCAGGGCATAACTGTTCACCAGCTGGGGTGAGGAAGGAATTTCCTCCTGCGATAGAGCGTTGCATAATTGGTCAGATGCATGACGGCTCGTATTTTTGCCGTCTCCTGTAACATAGGCAGAGACCACTGCCGAGGGGAAGTTTCTAGAGTAGATAGACCTCTAAATATGGCATTTCTGTCTGCTCCTTGCACACTCCTGAACAGGAGGCAGAGAGTGCACATAAAGTCTTTTGGGATTTGTACCTAAGCATTTTTCATTTTCAGAAGACAGAAATGGTAAGGAATAACTTCCCTCTTCCTGAGGTTGAAAATATCACAAGGAATGAAATCATGCCCTGCCTATAATTTTATTAGCAGCACAGCCGATGGTGCCAGGGAGCTGCCTGAGCACTTCCCAAACTTCAGAGCATGGGGGTTCCCGTCGAATCTCGCACCAGGGCACCATCTACCCATTTTTCAAGTCCATCTGTCACTATACCTTATGCACATGCGTGGTTTTGAAAGTGCATTTCTGCAGGTTTGGTAAGAAAAGCCACTCATAATGCTGTCCACTCACCTTGAAAAGTTTTTCTCTGTGTTATGGAGTCAATTACATGGCCAGGCACAATCTTTGATTCCTGGTGATGTACACCATGCTTTTTTTTTCACCTAACATGGAAAATCCAAAAGGCAGTTGTTAGCCAGGCATGCAAATACGAGCATCAATAATAACAAGGTATCATATTAACGAAAATATTGACACTGAATTATTCATTATGCTTACTTACTTTATAGTCCTCCTCATATGTTGGTAGACAACATTAAAGAAACTATGCTTAATCAATGGTTAAGCTATTACAGAAAGGACCTCTCTCAAACTGTGCTGTAAAGAACATTCTGCAAGTCAAAACAGGAAGGGAAATTTTAATTAAAATCTTCAAATCAGCAATAAACTTAAAAGATTTCAAAGATCTTTCAATAAAAAGATACACAGCAAAATGTTGTACAAATGTTAATATATGTGTTTTTCTGAAGAGAAAGAGCGCTCATAGATCCCATTAGTATCTTCAGATATGTTCTTGAACAAAATAAGTTAAGAAACACTGGTCTAGGCTTCAGTCCAAAAGAAAATCCTCAAATAAATTTGGACAAAGTCCTCTGCAACTACATGTAAGACTTATTCCTTTGGACCTTCCTTATACTGGCAGAATAGTATGAATTAGAGTCTCTTCGTAAAAGATTATTCAAATAGTGCCTAATTCCCATCAAGAGAAAAGACTTTTAAACATTTAAGTGTTGCTCCAAAGAGCTGCCTGTCATTTTATTATTAACTGGTTACAAAGAAGCCATTTTAAGTTTGGCTTTTTTCTCTCAGTCTAAGCTTTCCTATTTACTTTCTCATGTGGTTTTTATAAGAGTAGAACTTGGCAGATTTTTGTTTGTTGGTGTGGGGTTTTTTGTTGTTGTTGTTTGGTTGTTGGTGTTTGTTTTATACTTACAATTAACCATATATTATAAGGACTTACAAATTAGTATAAATTAAGAGTACAAGCTCTGAAGACTACCAGAACAGAGTTGAAATCTCATACTAGCAGTATAACTTCTGATAAACCAATTAACCTTTCTTCACCTCTCTTTTCTCATCTGTAAAATGGAGATATAATAATATCTACCCCCCACAGTCTGTGCACAGATTAAATGAGACGATGCCTATAAAACATTTGGCAGAGTGCCTACCACATATTAAGTAGACAATAAATGTTACCTATTAATATGATTATGCATATCTTGCCTATATATTTGTAAACATTAGGAATGTGTATCCTATTTCCTTATGACCACACAGTACTCATAAATTTTTATGGCCCTTGATACACACTGCAAATGAGTTTCCAAAAAAATTTTGCCGATATGAGAGTGTCAAGTTTTGCCGCCCTTTGGTAAATAATGGGAATTGCTATTAACCAGGAATAAAAGAAAAAAGAAAACAAAAATAATTTAAAAAGGAGGCAAGGAAAAAAAAGGAAAAGGGAAATTTTTGAAAAAATTTTAAATGTGCTTCTGGATGCAGAAAAAAAATCTGTGAATGGTGTAAATTTCCATTCCTTCAACATCAACCAAACATTTTTTCAAAGTGTTGTACTGTACCTCCCAGAAAGAGCTCATCCTACGTCACACACCTGGTAGTTTTCTGGCTGAGTGAAGTCACAGAGGGAACGAGCGGTTTCCTGGGTTTCTGCCAGATGTCCAGCGGTCCCATGAAGGCCAGAGATTTAACTGCCTGTCACCAGGGTGAAGATGATGCATACAGGACCATTTCCCGGGGGAACTGGGACCTGAGGCCAAAATACAAATGTTTTCTTGCAAGGTGGAATAAGGCAGAATGACACAGCCCACATGTGACCACAAGTCACGGAAGGTGTAACTCGAGGAGGCAAATCACCTAAGCTCGGAAAGGGATAATCCGTGGAGGAGCAGTTGGTTTGTGCAGCTTTCCAAGAGACCTAAATAATACCTGGTTTTGTGGGAAGAGGAAAAAAAAAAAAAAGAAAGAAAAAAAAGAGAGAGAGAGCAAGAAAGAGCTTTGGCCTTTGGTTGTGGATTTACTGCATGTGAGAGGGGAGAGTGACAATGCTGAAATGGAAATTTTCCATCTCAAGGGGACCAAATGGAGGCTTTTCCTCACCCTTTCCCCACCAATGTCCCACTAGTCCCTTCCTTCTTTATCGTGAAGCAAGTCCCGAAGAGGCCTGAAAATTTATTTGAAATCCACATGGGCATTGTTCTAATAAGAAAATTTCTGACCTCTCTGTTTATCCATGCAAAACTTTCTGATGAGAACTCTCTTCTAAGTGAGTACGACGTATAAGGCAGGTTTGACTATTTCTCCTAGCTCAGTCACAATGGAGTACTCACATAAAAGACTCAAAATCATAGTTGGGTTCTTTTGCCATTCGTGGATAGTGTAGCACTATCTGCTAAGTCTCAAATCTGGTGCTGGCTAAGAAGGTTGAGGGGACCATTGGCGCGGCAGCAGTCCTGGCTCCATCCACAAGCCCCTCATGGCTTACTACCTGGGTGCCCCCATGCAAGTACCTAACTTTGCAGACTTCTGCCACCTAATCTATTAAATGGAGACAATAACACCTGCCTTGCAGAGTTATTGTAAGGGGAGCGCCCGCTCCTGGTACATAGGAGATTCTATTAAATACGAACACATATGTGTGCGTGTATGCACATATACGTGTTCTCGAGTTTTTGAAAATCAATAACTCTTCTCCATCTTTATAGCTCGCAAGTGATTTTTTGAAGAGTCAATCAAGAAAGGAAGGAAAGAAACAGATTTTCCTCTCCAACAGGGAAAAGCAATTAAACGTCAAATATTAACTGTTCCAGGGAGTAAATTTTTTTAATGGGATAAAGGCTTGGCCATTATAGACCTCCAATATGTAATTTCTAAGAAAGGACCAGGTAATATATTTTTTTAAATTAAGTGGAAGATAAAATGCTAGAACCAGTGAATCCATTCAGAAAGCACTTTTTTATCCATTTTCAGTAGCTTCCCAATTGCATCATGCCTTTTAAGAGGCCCAATTTGTTTAACAGCATTTTATTTTAAACCTTCACTTGTGAAAAGCATTGATTTATGATAGGGCTGATTAAAGCAATGGTGTCTTAACCAATAATGATTTCAATTATAGGACTTTCACCAATGTGCATTATTCTGATTTGCTCTCCATTCTTTCCACATTTTTATTCACTAAGGAAGGGGTAAGGGTAGGTGATGTAATTTTGAAAAGTCCCTGGACAAATTTAGTATCAGAAAGGAATGTATAGACAGATGGACTGATGTACCTTTTTTGATTATGTGAATGTATTGCATTTTAATATGCTCTGACAAACTCTTGAACAGCTCCCCAATGAGCTCCTACCCAGTATCATTAGGGTTATTTAGTGCTTGAATCCTGCTCAATTCCCTCTGGAGCCACACTGAGGTGGTAGGAATGTGCACACTCCAAATTCACTCCAAGCCCAATACTTACAATCTCTCCATCTCTTTTCCTGGGGCTGGAGAAAACAATTAAGCTCACACCTAGATCTTTAACTCATTCAAATCCAACAGCAACAAAATGTACACCAAATAGCCTCTCCTAATCCTGCGGGCCTATCCTGTAGACAAGCCTGGAAAATAAGAAAGTGAAACCTGGAGTCAGATGCAAGAGAATTCAGTCCGTCTAACCAACTGAGAATGCGACCTAACATGGGGGCCCAATCTACCCTGTTTATTAATAACAGCGGTGGCCTGTGAAGGAATCCTATCTAACGGGGACAGTTACTCCCAGGCCCCTGACTAAGTGTCACTGTGTGCAGCTCTGAACCAAACAGCACCATGACTTCAGATACTACAAAAAGAATCCAGAAATCCATATTGTTATGCGAAGTTGAAGCTTCTCAGGTTTTAAAGAGCACACACATCCTGGCCAAAGTTAGCCTGCCGGCTGCCTCTGCCATGCTTCCTAGTTGGTGCACGCCTGGCTAATCAATCTAGTTATTAGAGATACGACAGGCCACAACACGGCACTATGCTCTGCAAGAACCTTTTTAAAAAATTACCAGAGTGTTCTAATTCTGCAATTTCATAAACATTTAATGGGAATCTATTATGTACTAAGAAACACATGCCTGCAAACACAAAAAAAGAACAATTCTTCTTATCTACCTGCAAGGGGATGACAGTCTAACATTCATATAGATGAACTATGAAGGATTTCAGGTTTAAATAACTAAGGACCAGTGCAATCTAACATTGAGGCTCAATTTATCACATTTATTTTTAGGTAAGAACCTCCTTTGCTACCCTTCAGGTAAATTAGTTTGTCCCTATGCTCTCCTCTGAAGCTCCGTTTTAATTTGAGAACTAGTCCTGTGAATACCAACGTCCATGTAGGATACATTCCCCTTAAAATCCCCAACAGCAATTGGAAGGGAAAATTCCAATCACATCTTGATAGAATTTTTCTCCCTCAAATCAACTTTACAGATTTCTTAATTAGGCGCTGATATTAACTGAGCCCTCCCATGATTTAAACCTAGCATGTAATCCCAGCTATTCTATGATGCTGTAGCTTTTATGAGAGCTGACCAGCAAATGCTTTATGTATTAATCTCTCTGGAAATAAATCACTTTAATAATTTTTTTAAAACTTTTTTGGGGAGATCAGAAGTCCCAAGATGTAAATGAAAACATTCAGGTCCAGCCATTAGAATTTGTGGTTTAGCGCTTGAAAAAAATCAGGTACCAAATTGCTTTGCAGAAGAAAATAAGATCAAAGTTAAGATTTTCTCTTTTCTTAAACTTCGTGATTATTTCTCAGACTCCTTTTTGAAATGCCTTAAAAGGATTTCCATTGAAACGTACCTGGGCTTTTTCTCTCTTCCTTTTAAATATGGATTGTTGTCCACTACCTTCTCTGATGGCGCTGCATGAAGGAAAACCTCTCACACACCGCCCCCGTGGGCAGTATATGGAAAGCAGGTGGTTCACTGTGCTAAGAACTTGGCATTGAACTGATTTAAACACAGCATTAGCTACAGTCTGCACCTTAATAACAGGCAATTACTGGAGACCTTATTTCTTTATTTGCATAAAATTCCCAGCCAAACTTTAGCATAGGGTTCCCCTTTCCTCTTCTCTTTCTCAGCCCCTCCCACAGCAGCCTTGTGAACTTCTTCCCCGTGAGCATGAAGTCACAAGTCACACGCTCTACCTGCTCGGGATACTAGACGTTGTATAGGACATCTGAACCTTCTTATTCGCTTTGCAGGGCTGGCGATTCTCAGAAGGTCATTGACTTTCTTAGTTAGAAGCTACTTTGGCGATTCTTCTCCGAACCCTTTGTGCCACAAAAGAGAGAGAAAAGACAGAGAGAAATTAAGTGACTTGCACCCAGAGTCACACAGCAGTTCCTATGGCTTTGTGGTGTAATGTGCACGCCACTTCCTCTCACTAGAGTTTTACACAGGCTTCACAAGAAAGCACCAATTTATTACAAAAGTACTAATGGGCTCCCTTTCTGAGGCAAGTATCATGCCCATCTTCAGGGACTCAACAGTGAACAAGGAACATTCTAATCCCGGTCCCATCCTGACCTGCTGCTCCTTCTTCCTCACTGAATCGCTGCTGAGAGCCTCCCAGACTGCACATCATACAAGCAGATGTGAGAGGAACCTTAGAGCTTGGCCCCCCAACTCCTCCTGCCCATTTTACAGTGGGGAACATTGAGGCCCCCAGAGACCTTAGAAGCAAGTTCGTGTTAGAAGCAGGTCCAGAATCCATGACGCTGACTGCTGAGTAAAGTTCTTTCCCCTTCACCACATTCAGCTAATTCAGAATGCGTCTAACATGAAGGCCCAATGCATCACATTAATCACAAACATTTCCTTTGTTACCCCTCAGGTAAGTTTACTTGTCAACAAGGTCTGGTTTCAAACTCCATTTTAATTTCAGACCTAGTTCTTTAAATACCAAATTCCACATAGGATATATTCACATTAAAATCCCCAACAGCAATTGGACAACGGTCCCTGAGACCCAGAGTTTAGCCACCTGTGCAATAAAACTGCAGTGACCAGCACATTATGCAGGGCAATAGCACACACTCGTACCTCTGACATATTCAGGGCAAATCCAGAAAACTGGTGAGATAAGCTTACGTCAGCAGAAACACTAGGATTAGTATTTGGACCATCATCATCATGGAATGTTTAGGCTCACCACAGATATATTTAAAATACTAGCTACAGTTTATATGTATTTTCAATGACCTTGTAATTCAATAGTGTTCAATAATCTTAGCCAAAACTATAAATGGTTGCTGGACCTATTAAAGAAGTAAGTTAGATCTTCTATTTTTTTTTTTTTTTTCAAATGTGGTCTTCCAGGGAGCTGCCTCTGGACATAACTACAGAAAATTAACACAATAAGTAAAGCATTATAGAACAGCTATTAACTGATTACGCTAATAAAAACCAAATGGGGGCCTTAATTCTGCCCCTCTGGGAAAGCAGGACAGATAAAATAAACAACAGGAAAAAAAATGGAATAAAGGATAATTGATTTTAAACAATAATAATACGGATAACTCCTATTTCATAAAAAAAATAATACAAATCTCCATCTTTATTTTGGGAACGATAAAAAGAAAATTCTTGTTCTGCCTCGTTAAGATCTAAGTTGGATACTAAGTGGGTGTTTTCCAAGCTAACAAACTGGAAAAGTTAAGGGGTGCTAACATGGAGGTGCTTAAATGCCAGGTGCATGGCTGCAATGACTAAATTTACCATATTATCAAAATTAGGGGCCCTTTTTGTCCCCCTCAGAGGAAGACTGAATCTAAACATTCCCAGCTCGTGGGCCATCAGGGTGGGACGGGAAGTGGAGTCCAATAAACTCAGCAGTCAAGGCAAAAGCCAAGCCAGACAGAGAAGAGAAAAGAAGACTAAGAGTTTCCACTACACTGGGCAGAGTGTTGGGGGGCCTCTAAACCACACTCCAAATACTGCACTGCCTGTTGGCTAAATCCTACAATTCTTGAGTATGCTTAGGGTTAGCTCTATGTAGAAATTCATAGCAGAGAAGAGTTCTCTCTTTCCATTTATTATATATAATATGGCCCGTGTTCCTCCTGGCTTCGAACCTAGCCAGGACCTAACAGTTGCTCTTGGTAAGTGCCTGCTAGGTGCCAAGTCAGACTAGATGCTTTGTAGACATTGTCAGTAATTCTTACATTATTGCTGCAAGGTAAAGATGCTCAATTTAGAGTTGAAGAAATGGAGGCTCAGGGAGACACAGAGGCACTCAGCACCCTGGGGACTCAGCACCCTGCCTCCCACAGGGTAACCCAGCACTCTTACTAACTGTTGCTGTAATTGTTTTCCCTCCGTCTATTTCCACATATTGTTCTAACCAGTCTCACCCATGGAACCAATCCTTTTTGCATGGCATATGCAAAATCCCAGGTTATTTTTACTTTTCCCTGGAAAAAAGTCAGCAAATTCAAATGCAAAGATCAAGTCTATGAGAGAAAATAGTTTAGCATTTTCTTAAAATGGGGAAATTAAAACTCTTATGCAAGATACTAACTTTTATGGTAGCAGAAAATAACGTGGTAATTGCATTTAATTTACTGAAGGGTAGTTCAGATTTTTAATTGATCTGAAAACTAAAGGAGAGTTCTACAGTGAACCATGGATGGTCAGACTCAAGAAGAAGCATCAATAGATGCATGATGGGACTCTGTATAGAGTTAGAACACCCTTTCAGATAAAAAGGGTAAGACTTATTCAGCACTGGGCACAGAGGGCTAGGAGACATACAACAGGACTAAAGAACAGAAGGTTCAGGAAGGCAGATTGGAAGTTGAAGTCAAAAATACATCGAAAAAAGCCAGAGCTCATCAAGAATACAATGTATTCAGGTCATCATTCTTAGCAGTGAAATATTGGAAGCCTTCCTAATGAAGAATATTTTTAAATGATTTGGAAGTTGTAGTCTTTTATATTAAGACAGGAAAAATAAAGAAATTACATAATTTTGAGAAAGAGACAGAATAATCATTATTTGCAAATGATAACCTTATCTATCTAGATGACTCAAAAGAACCATATTAGTAAATTATTTGGATAAGAAACCAAAAAAGTGGCAAATACAAAATAAAAATGCATAAATAAATAACATTTCTCAGCAAAGTCATAAAATGGAATACAGAAATTGCATGCACAATAGCATGGAATAAATTTGAGACCGTATTGAAAAACTACATGATGAAACTACAACTTTTCATAAGTTCATATGAAAAGATAAATGAAAAGGCATAGTTTATTTCTACATAAGAAAACCCAATATTAAAAGACCTCAAATTCCCACACATTAATGTATAGTTTGCATTATCTTACATGCTGAACTTGATGAGTTCTTATGGAATAAAAAAATAGGAAGTATCACCAGAAAACTAATCTTAAAGAGGAAGAATTTACATTGCTGGATATGAAAGTCTATTCTTAAATGACAATACTAAAAAGGGAGAGTTTTATAAAAGTGATGGAGACAAAAAGATAATGAAATAAAGTGTAAAAACACAGAAATAGGCCCAATAACATACATTAAGATCAGTAAGGGAAAGAAGTTTTATTAAATAGACCTCCACATGGACCAAAATAAATTCCAAATAAATAAAAGATTTAAATGTTTTTTTAAAAAAGAACCACAAAAACATGAAAAGACAATACAGGTTAATACTGATCTCAGTCATAGCTGTGCAAAGTCTTTTTAAACATAAAAGCTGACGAAGAAAGAATAAATTTAGGAAAATATTTATGTACTTAAATTCATAAACATATACATTTTAAAAATTCATTAACAATTAAAAACCAAATGACAAAATGGAGAAAGTGTTTGCAATATGTGATGGTGAAAGGGTTAATAAACTTATCACATAAAGAAGTTTTATAATTTAATAGAAAAATCAATGAACATCTCCATAGAACCACAGGACAAAAGTTAAATAAATAAAAATAAAAACAAACAGGCACGATACATACACATAGAACAAAACACATAGTCAAGAAATGTGAAGAAAGTGAGCATTACAGACAATCAAAAGAAAACTAATCACAATAGGATACTAATTCTTACCTTATTTTGGGACAAGTTAATGATGGCTCCTGAAATCTGCATTCTCATTCACTACGAATGAGAATACAAATTGGCAAAAATATTTTGGAGGACAACTCTGAAAAATGTAGCCAAAAGCAAAAACAAAAACAAAAAAAAGACTTGGACCCAGGATTTTCATGGACAGTGGTTTATCCAGAGGAAACGCAGATATGCACAAAGTTTTTTTAAAGGCTAAAAGTTACAAAAGACATAAATATCTAACAAAAGGTCAAATGAATTACAGTCCCTACAAATAAGGAAATACAATGCAGGCATAAAAATCATGTTTTGGAATAGTTTTAACACCCTGAGCAAATATTAATGATTACTACATCTTGTCAAATGGGAAAGGCAGTTTACAAAATAGTGGACTACAGCAGGGCCTCTATTTAACTTTCCAAACACACAAGTGAACGTGAGTTAAAATGTAGTGGGAAGACATTAGAAAATGTATATTGAAGTGTTGACGATGATTATACTTAAGCAGTGGGATCAGAGGCAATTTTTTTTTACGTTTTCATGCTTTTCCAGAATTTCCAAATGTCCTACAACGGCCATATATTCTCTTTTGCAACAGAGAGAATATTTCCTTGTGTTTTTTCAGTCCTAGTTTGCTGGAAGTGTTGCAGGCGTCAGGTGCGCCACCCGGGGAGAAGGCCACAGGAGAAAAGGGGACCTGGGCCACTTGAGCCTGTGAGTCTACGCCTTCACCTTATTCCAGCTTTTTTTGTCTTCTTCTTTTTTATCTGCTCTCTGAAAGTTCGCAGCTCCCAACACCGTTTTATTTGTTCCTCCTGTGAGTGACAGACCAGAGTGTCCCAAGAATACTTAATGTATTTTGTGTCAGGGGCCTGTGGGTCAGTAAGGTTATTAATAAACATCGCCTCTTGTTCTAATTTAGGTCCCTCCTCTCCTTCCTGCCTCTCCTCCTGCCCTGCTTTTCCTTTCGCTTCTCTTTCTGTCTGGCCCTTTTCCCCTTCTCCCTGCCATAAAGGATTCGGCCTTCATTTTAGCTCCACTTCTGGCACTTTTCCCGTAACGCGTTTTTGACGTTGTTGTTGGTCCTGTTAAGTTTTCACGGGGAATTTAATTTTGGAGGAAATGCTTAGTGTCCTAAATCAATTGGATGCAGGCTGATGCGGTACTAGCATCTGACAGGCATGGGAGGCTGGAGGGATA